TTGATGGAAATGTGCTAACGAATACACCTAAATTTGTTTATGTCTGCGCAAATCATTTTACTCTAGTCTGCTTTCTGAATGAGGGACAATTCAATGCAAATTTTGTTAAAAAGTTCAAACTCAAGGATGGATCACTACCCACTGTTCGTGATCCAGCTGCACCTCCAGAAGTAGTAAATCTCACACTTTATTTTTTTTAATGATTATTTGCTCTTCCACGGAAGAGAGGGGGTGAGCAGAGCTCATTATCATGTAAAGAGATATGCACCGAAACGAGTCGCTGTGAACAGAGCTGTTTTTGACAAGGTAAAAAGGGTGTTGTTTAACACGGCCATTGAGACCATTTCAAGAAGACCCTAAAGAATCATACCCTCCTGACTACCAGGAAAAAACAGTTTTGTGAATTTAGTATTTTGTCATATTACATTGTTTAGAGCATAAGAACATTTTTGAAAAATAAAATTTTGAAAAATGATATTTTATTCATATGTTATGCCATGTCCTCTGTAGAGGACATCGGGACTTTAAAAAGTCCTCTTTTTAAAAAAATAAAAAGACATGAATAGATATGAAAAGGCAAAAAGAGTGGGATTTTTGTTTTAATCAGAAATCAATTTTTTTTATACCAAACTTTATATAAAGATGATTCTCAACTATGTTATGAAAGATATTTTTAAAAACCATTTTTTCTTTCTGCAAAATGTGTGTAAAATGGCCATAAACGAGTTTTTCCATTATAAAAAAATTCTATAAACTGTATCTAATTTGCATATTAATGTTTTTTTGGGGCAACATAGAATGAACAAATAAGTTTAGTAATGAGAGTAATAATTATATAAGATTTTCATAATAATATCTAATATTTAATAGGAATATTGATATAATTTTTTCTCCCAAAATGTGTAATAAACATGCTTTAAGTCCTGGTGTCCTCTACAGTGGACATGTATGAAATTGATGTCCTGTTTCATAACAGAAGGTCATATTTTGATTTGAAACAATTTGTCAATTAGTCCGATTTAAATAATTACAAAATATATTTCCATTAGGGTGTTACATTTTATCACTAAATGAATGTCAGCCATTTTTAAAGACCAAATTGAGGGAGTGGTCATGGTGAAACATCCAATCATTTGGTATCGCTGAAAAGCCCTGAATGTGCTCTGTACAGGACATCCAGATTTAAAACTGTGACATGTAACGTCTCAGAGAAATCGCTAAAACATAATGTTCTCTACAGTGGACAAAACTCCATAGCTGGTAGTCAGGAGGATACCTACTTATGGAAAAGGGGCATCCGATGTCCCCTTTGAAGCACAGTCACCACAAAATCAGACTTACTTTAAGATCATTCTGAGGTTAAATACAGATTTAAAATCATAACAAGAAATAGTTTGAATAGCTATGATACTGTTTTTGAAATCAAATCTCTGCATAGCTATGACAGGAAACACTGGAATCTAACAATGCCTTTGAAAAAAAAAAAGTTAATCTTAAAAAATAAAGCATTTACATAAACCCCATATTCATGACATGTGTCATGTCATGATTATGAAGGTGTCATGTCAGTCTTATGCACACCCCTTCAAGTAAAGTGTTACCAAGAAATCAATTAAATCTGTAAGTGGGGGTGTGTCTGAAAAAAAATCAGATGTAACCCCCCCTTTGTAATCCTTAAAATTTTCATAAGTAACTGTAATTGAATTACACATTTTTTTCTCAGTAATTGTAACTAATTACAGTTACTTTTATTTTGTAATTAAATTACGTAATTCCGTTACATGTAACTAGTTACTTCCCAACACTGTCTGATGGCTGGTTTTTGAGGGGTTTTAGCAGATGGGCAAGCTGGTCTCTTAGTGTGACCAACTGAAAACCCATTGCTAAGACTAGCAAACCAGCTTAGGCTGGTTTACAATGTTTTCAGCAGCATCAGTCTTCTCTAGTGCATCTAAATACAGGAAATAAGCGCTATAACATAAACAGATAAACAATATGTCTTCTTACCATTAGGTTAGTTGCTCTCGATGCATTTTGTCGCAAGATCACTGTTGGTTTCACTTTCACTTGTGGGCGGTGTCAAAACTGTTTTTCAGTTTCATTACGCATTAATAAGACTCGATTTAGAAAATGCATTTAATGACCGCATCGTTTCCTTAAAACGAGGTAGTGTGCACTAAACACGTTTTTATCTCATATTGCTACTGTATGTAGTGCTTATCATGACGTTGTACGCTCCGTCGGTTGTGGACTCACCAGCAGTGGACGCTGTTTGGCGCATGTTTGTTCTCCAAGTGTCCAGCAGAGAGCGCTGTTTAGCAAATATCATGAATTATATGGGCGATTTCATGAATGAGCAGCCCTTCGTTTCTCTCGTGAGCAAGTGTGTAAACAAGGATTTTAACAATGAAGCTGACACTAACATTTAATATCATTATAGGCATTCGTTTGAGGAAACGTTTCAAGGCATAGTTATAATTTGCTTGCGATAACATAATTCAATTTATTAACAATTTGTCTGACACATCGTTTGTCTGATAGAATGTTTCTTCAAACTAATCTATGGAATGCTCACACAAATGTTGGACTTTTCTGCAAACATTAACCAGAAAGTTAAGACGGGTTACCTAGGTAAAATAAAAAAAATAAAAAACCAAACCTAATTACACTTGTTTACTGATAGAAAAAGAAAAAAAAACTGAGCATTTATCTGCTTACATCTTTATTATTAAATTTAAATTGAGTACAAAACTTTTTTATTGTAGTAAATACTTTGTATTATACATTGTGATATAAATGATTCTCTCTCAGGGGGCTCGTAGCCCTTTCTGCTTATATAAGCTGGTCATTTGCTTTGGCAAAGTAACAAAACAACAGAGCAACTACGACGACCAACAACAGTTTACATGAGGAGTTTACATATAAATCAGCATGAAGTGAAATGTGACATGTAATTCATGACACTCAAAAAAAATAGGCCCTTTGCACCCTTAGTTCAAACACAATCTTATTCAGTACTAACCCATGAAACTAACAAACAAACCCAAGGGCACATATTTAAGTATTGTCATACTCAAGCACTCGCTGAGAACCAGAAAACATGAAGTCTGAGTTTTAAATTAACTGAGAAAACCTTATGAGCCTATGTGCAATAATAGCAAAATAATTTCTAATGATTTATTATACAGTACATTTCCTACCCTTTGGGAACTGGATGTGTAAATGCAACAGACCAACAATCTTCATTAAGGGTCAGGCCTTTCAGTGCATGGTCTTGTGACACAAAAAGTGTATAAAACAACACAGTGTGATATATAGTACTGTTCAAACATTTGAGGTCAGTAACATTTTTTTAAAAGAAATTAATACTTTTATTCAGCAAGGATGCATTAAATTAAAAGTCTGAAAATGTCTATTTCAAATAAATGCTGTTCTTTTGGTTTATATGTTTATTAGTGCTGTCTGCCGTGTGTTTTGAGTTTGAACTCCGTCACTGAGCTGGATGTTGACATCACTGAATTCAATGATGAACTGTCTTTAACTGAAAAATTTGTGTTTACTATTGTCATTTTGCATTATTGACACTATTTTCCTAATTAATGCTGTTCAGTTGCTTTGACACAATCTGTATTGTTAAAAGCGCTATATAAATAAAGGTGACTTGACTTGACTTGACTTTTGAACTTTCTATTTACAAAAATAAAATCAAAAGAAGTAAGCAGCATGACTGTTTTTAACATTTATAATAAGAAAACATTTTTCTTGAGCACCAGATAGTTTCTGAAGGATCATATGACACTGAAGACCAGAGTAATGGCTGTTAAAAATTCAGCTTATAATAAAAAAGAATAATTTACGTTTTAAAATATATGAAAATAGAAAAGTGTTATTTAAAGGGATCATATGATGCTTTTTTAAAGATCATTATTTTGTGTATTTGGTGTAACAGAATATGTTGACATGCTTTAATGTTCAAAAAACACATTATTTTTCAAATACTGTACATTATTGTAGGTCCTCTATGCCCCGCCTCTCTCAAACGCTTCGTTTTCTACAAAGTCCCTCCTTCCGACAAGTGCAGTCTGCTCTGATTGGCCAGCTGACCTAGTGCATTGTGATTGGCCGAACACCGCAAGCACTCGTCGGAAATGTAACGCCCCTTACCATAATCGCGAGCGTCAGCTTTCAAAATAAATATAAAGGCAGCCAGAAAGGGGAACAGAGTCGCGTGACAGACAGTGATGAAGCTGGTATGTGTTTGCAGTACACAAGCCACGGTTAAGACAGCTGACTCCACTGTGATGTGACCCTGTCTCCCTGTGTCTCCCTGTCTCTCTCTCTCTCTCTCTCTCGCTCACACGCGCGCGCGCGCGCACACACACACACGATGCGCAAAACTCCACATTTGAACAGTCAATAGCAAATACTTAAACTAGTAACAAAACAGTAGCTGATTCAGAAGCGCCAGATTGTCATAGCAAAGTCAGAATTACCTCCTCTCCTAGGTTCACGAAACGGTCGTCCATAAAATGCATTGCTGTTCTGTTGTAAGTAATCTTAAAGATTCCTAAATGCATCTACTTTCGGAAGGCCAAATAAAGTGCTTTTGCTTTCGCCTAGAAACACACAGCTTCTCCCTGACATGGCTGCATCAACACTAACTGCGGTTACTGAAACCACGCCTTCTTTCTTTGCGTGCACATTTGGGCAGCATTATGCAAATATTTCCACATAGTGAGGTAGATATGTGGGGGCGTGTTAGAACGAGCCGTTTTAGGGGGCCGTGGCAGAGTCTTAACTTTGATAAAGAATATCTCTTTGGTTTTGAGACTTTAGTCTTTGCAACTTCAGGGATCTTATCTATGCACAATCAGCTTGTAACACTCCAAAGAGAAAGGAAAACTTGAAATCGCATCATATGACCCCTTTAAAATTGTAATAAGATTTCACAATATTACTGATTTTACTGTATTTTAAACATATAAAAGCAGACTTGGTGAGCATAAGAGAATTCTTTCAAAAATCTTATCAACCTCAAACTGTTGAAGAGTAGTGTAACTGGCAAAAATGGGCAAATTGAATATTATAAGCATGAGATGAACCAAATCAGTCAAAATGCTCAACATTTCCTGACTTGAAATAGCTTAATTTCCTGGGCAAACAACTTCAGCATTCTGTCATTTAGATCGGGAATGAAGAAGCGTTTATAATATGTACTTGAATTCAGAGGACTGCATTAACGGATGTAATTGTAGTGCCATGGCACTAATATACTGTATAAGGCAAACCAGTGATGTGAGACAGGATGTTTACAAAACCAGTGTCATATAACAATGTACAAAACAACCAGGGTTTGATGCTGAAATAAAACAGTTATAAACAGCACATTTTATGATACTAATAAATGGCAAAGAAACATTTGTGTACCTGATAGGATCACGATAGTCATACCTGATAGTCATACATTTGTGATTTTTTCTGCCTCTGATGATGGGTTATTTGTCTTGTCCCCATCTGTAGGCACACTGCTGAACTGGCAGTCCATGGCCAAATTGAATGCAGGCTTAGCTGGAGACCCAGACGCTGGTGAACTGTTCTTCTGGGCTGCATCACGGGAGTCCAGCCAGTAAAAGGAAACCATAAGGAACAGAGCTGATAAGGCCACCGAGATGCTGCAGGCCACGAACACATACGTGTACTGGTCAGTACGGTCCACAAGGATTCCTGGAACACAGGTGCAGAGATATTACAAGATCTACATATGTTCAAATACAATAAAAATCTGCTCTATCATCATTATTTTGAAAATAACCACCAAAACATGAGTCATGCATGAGTGGGGTAGGATACGGGTGAGCCTTAAGCCAAAAACGTGTACTTAGTAGCACTCCAAGGTGCTAGGCAGTGCTTGACCCAACTAAGGACATTTGTGTGTGAGAAAGAACGGTCAGTTTGACCAGATTGAGATCACAGCCTTCGCTCCCACCAACATGTAAATCCAGATTAGTGCTGTTAAAATGGAGCACACATTCCATTCTTTTTACTCAGACACAGGCACGGACCTCCTCACTGATAGCTAGCTACACAATCGCACATTTATTTTAATTCTGGATCATAGTGATTTCTTCTTTATGTGACAAGAATGTTTGGGAATGTCTGTGAATTAACTTGTAAAATGATTTTTCGGGACTTTACTTTGACAGGACAGTTGAGACGTGACAGGAAAGAACGTTCATTTCCTGATCTGAGTCAGATTTAAACCAGGGATAAGAGCAGTTGACTTTTTAGGTAATGCATTGTGCACTGACTTTTTATTAACAACAAGATTGTAGGGTAAAATTCATATGAATTTATAATGGAAATTGAATTTTGTAGGTACCGTAACTAGTCATTTTAATGACATGTTTGCTTGCTCTAGTTTATTTTAAATAATAAAAAATAAATGAAAATAAAAGGCAGATGCTCAACCTACTGTAGATGAGGGTTAAAAAAATCCAAATTAATAAAATATATTGATTATTTTTTTTTGAACAATTTCTTTTATTTTAGATTGTAATAATATTTTACAACATTACTGTTTTTACTGTATTTTTTAAAGTTAATGAAGCTTTCGTGAGCATAAAAGGCTTATATATAATACCTTTTATATAATACATAATAATAAACAGCAATATTTACCAACATATTTTCTTTTACGTATGCATTTGTAATATGTAGGTAAGTATATATATATATATATATATATATATATATATATAAATTCCAAAGTAGTGTAGTAATGAAACACATTTACACATTAGTAAATGCAAACAAGATTTAAAAAGAGATATATTCAGCAAATATAAGTGGTCATGTGTTGTGGCAATTGTAGTACAAATGCTCTATAAAGACTTTCAATAAATATTAGGCTATAAAGCTGCATGCAAAATAGTTACACATTGTTTAAAATAGTTTTAGATGAAGTATCATGTCACACTTTCTAAAAGTTCACGTCAACCACCTTTTATATTACAAAATGTACTGTTTATGAGGGCTGCTGGATGAGGCAGATATTTACAGTACCTACAACCCATTGTTTGAAAATGTTTGTCGACAATGAAGCAGCTCTTTATTGCCTGTGCACGTTTTGAATGACTGTCTACTGCAGGCAATGGCCATTTACATCTACATATCCATAACACTATCAAAAAAATGTATCAAAATATGAGTATACTTTTTTGATGGAGGGATCTGCCCTAGTAGTGATGAAAGCCTCTGCTGTCCATAGAAACCATACTTGTTGTCTCAAGTTTAGGGCAGGTACAAATGTTGAAATACCAGCATGACCACATTTACAACAGTCTCTGTCTGTTTTAAAGGGTGTTATCTGGAGTTTAGATGCCTATAGATCATGTCTGGGCTGTGTTCTGTGAGTCATACACATTCAGGCAGTGATATAACACATAATTCAAAACACAAGGTTTTCATGTTACCTGCGAGAGGAGGTCCAATTAGCAGTGTGACGCTTTCCATGATAGACAACAGGCCAAGCGCAGATGGGAATTGACTCATCTCCACCGTGTCCATCAGGACGGTGAACATCAGTGAGCCTACCAGGCTCATGGACAGTCCATACGTCAGGACAAAGATTAACAGCACTGGGAAACTGGCAGAAATGCAGCAGATACTATTACTGAGTCCATTTATGAGGAGTGCGGCTGAGAAAACATAGATGTGTCGACCTTTAAACCAGGGCAGGCTGAAGAGCACTCCGACGGGAGGCCGCACAAAGATGTTGACAAAGCCCAGGATGGAGAGCAGCAGGGCGGCTCTGCTTGGATCCATTTTGTGAGCTGTTGCATACGGGACCAGGTATATAAGCGGCACAACAAACCCCAGCATCATCCAAGTGATGCCCAGTGAAAACACCCGAAATCGCGGGTTACTACAGAAGAGGTCAAAGGCCATGTGTTTTCTGAGGAACGATGCTAAACCCTGAAAGATCCCCAGCACACATCCCTTTTTGCCTGCGGGTCTAGGACCGTTGCTCATCACCTCTGACTTTCTGGGCTTGCGAGGCCTGGTGGGTCTCATAACGGCTCCGCAAACACAGCAGTTGAGCAGCACAGCACCGAGTACCAGAAAGCTCCCTCTCCAGCCTAGCGTACTCTGCAGATAGTCACCTAAAAAAGGCAATGTAGACAGACCCAGAGCAGTACCAGTGGAGGACATCGCATTGGCAAAAGGACGACGGCGCACAAAGTAGTGGCCAAGTATAGTGACCGCGGGCTGGAAGCTGAAACAGAAACCCAGACCTGTGAAGCAAACAGAGAGTTATGAATTATACAGAACTGACTGCTGGATGAAGTTCATTGTACTTTGGTAACAGTAAACACTAGGGGTGCTCCGATCAGGGTTTTTGAGGCCGATCACAGAAAGCAGTATCTGCCGATACCGATCACCGATACCGATCTTTTTAAAGCCTTCTTTTTATCATTTATAACTATTTATAGTGATACACCAATCAGGATTTTTAGACATTTATTCAGGGCCTGAATTTCATTTTTTAAAACAGGGAGAATTCCCCTCTTAGGTGACTCTTGTGAGAGGAAAAGCAGCTTTCACACAGGAGTCCGCTACTGATCCGTGGCTGTTTACCACAAACACAACATTTATCCAATATTTTGATTTCAAATCCAAACATTGTCACTGAAAATGCTTTTTCAACATTGCAATTCTTTTTTTACACTGTACATTAATACAATCTTTCACAGACATTAAATATAAGCAACACATTCAATGCTTTTTACGCCTTTTACGGTGTAATTACTACATTTTCGTGTCAATCCATGTTCATATTTACTGCAAACAATGCGCTGTTACTTTAATTCAGCTACTTTAATTCAGTGCTTGCAGCGCAGCAAAAATAACGATCTCTGCACTGCTGCAGACGCACCACTCCTGAACACACTGCCGGACCGCAACCGTGTGCAGTGTGAACGCTTTAATCCGTTAACATGAGC